ATTTAGCTCAGTGTTTCTGGTGCCTGCCTCACAAACACAAGGGCCTGAGTTTGGTCCCCAGTACCAAAAAAAAGAAAAAAAAAATAACTCAAAAGAATTGCCTACACCCACAGCCACTACAACCAGCCTTCTGCCTTTGCCACCTAATAGAAATGATAAATCATCAGAGCCAAATCAACCTGACCAAGCAGTCACCAGCTCCAGCATCTTAACCTCCTCTTAAGGCCCAGATATTGTTGTTCACTTTCTTCGTAAAACACTCCCCTCTTACTTGTGTGAGTCTGTTCTCTCTCAGTTCTCCTTCTACTTATTCAATCGCTCTTTCTTTCTTTTACTGTGTAGACTGTTTTCTGTCTGTTCTGTAAAGTCCCTGGAATCTCCCTCAGTCAGGCCTCTTCTCAGCCTTCTTTGTGCCAAGTAGCTGACTTACATGAAAGATTCACTGGCTGGCAATCATGGTTATGAGCTGGACAAGGGTCTCTGAGGGGCTCTGAGTAGGGACCTGAGTCTGTCATCCTTGGATATTAATCTCAACCCAGCCATTCCCAAAGGGACCTGTGGCCTGGGAAAGTCTCCCATTGTGATTCATTAATATCCAATGGATATACAGATGAATCTTGACTTCCATCTCAATAAATCCATGGTGCTTTGAAAGTACTGTAAGTGGAAAATACACAGAATCCTGTACATTTAACCTACTGAATGTAGTAACCACCTAACCTGTCCTAAATGTGCTCAGAACACCTACATCAGCCTACAGTTGGGAAGTCATCTAAAACAAACCAGTTTTATAATGAAGTGTTGCATAGCTCATGTACACACAATGACAGGGTTTATAGACATGACAGGATGCAAAGCACAAAACACAATATATGAAAAATAAAGGCAATGCTGTGGTGATTGTTCCCCACTTGCTCATGTGGTTTATTGATAGCCTCTGTTCCCCAAGGTAATAGAAAAACTTGTACCAAATAAAGCTTTCCCTGGAAAAGACCAAAAGTCAAAGTCCAAAGTTCAGTTTCTGCTGACGAATACTACTTTCACACCAGCACACAGTCAAAAATCATAATCTGACCCACTGAAGCCAGGGACTCTGTAATCATTAAGAACATAAGGTGAACTTCTGCTTAAGTTCAATGGCATCTAAGACAGGCACACAGAGTTGAGTCCAGAGGTGCAAGGAGCAAATGCAACCCTCCCCTCCTGAGGGTCCTGCCCTGAAAGCCTCCCTGCAGCCCTGGTAGACACAAGATGGCAGGAAGGACAGTGGGATCACTGTCCACAGGAAAGAGTTCAGGACTCTTGCAACAGTCGCAGCCAGATTGCAAGGGTGACAGACTCAGGAAAACATCAAGAGGAGAAATTGAGTGCAGGGCATGTTGGGGAGCAAGTGTAAGAAAGAAAATTGCAGTTTGCTCCTGTAGTGCTGGGAGGTTAGAGATCAAAGACTCCTATACACACACACACACACACACACACACACACACACACACACACACACGCACACTGGGTCCAAGGACAGTGAGAGGGGAAAGCAGAGACACAGGATAGTTGCATCTTCCAGCATGGAGCTGAGCCAGCAGGAAACATTAATCAGGGCAGCAGGAAATCAGAGCCCTATACTAAGCTCAGTTTGTAAGTCTTGGGCAAGTCACTTCCCTACTCTGACCTTAGTTGTGTTTTTCTTTTTCCTTTGAGAATGAGGAAATTGAACTACTTGATCTGAGTCTCCTCCCAATTCCTCTCCTGAAACCAAATTAAGCAATGTCCTCTGCTGTGACTGGAAATGCTAAATGTACCTATTTTAGTCATAAGAGGGAGATAGGTGATCGTTACATGGCTGAGATTTTAATTTTTTTATTGTTATTAAATTTATTGGTACATTTTAGGTATAAAATACAGTTACATTCATCATTCAGATCTTGTACCTATACATGATTTATCAGGTTCTTATTTTTCCCCATTCCCCAGCCCTACCCTTAGCTCCTCCACCCTTCCTGTTTATAATGATTTTGTTTCCATGTTTTTCTTTTCCCTTTTTACCTTTCCCCTACCCTTTCCACTTCCTCTACTCTTTTAGACTTTTATTCCTACTACACAATATTAATTTTACATTTTAATCCTTATTTACACTTACTTTTTCACACCAGAGAAACTATTCAGTATTTACATGTGTGACTTATTAATTTCACTTAAGAGTATGGCCTCAGTGTGCATCCACTAAGCTATAAATCTCTCTAGTTTCTTGTTCTTTGTGGCTGAGTAGTATTCCATTTTATTTTTTAAAAAATCTTCTTTATCCAGTCTCCAGTTGATGGGAAATTGGGCTGTTTCCAAGTTTTAGCTATTACAAACTGTGCCGCTATAAACATGGGTGAGCATATATTGCTGTGCTATGATACTTTTAACTTTTGGGAAGATACACAGCAGAGGAATAGCTGGGTCAAATGCGGCTTCTAATCCTAGTTGTTTGAGGTATCTCCATACTGATTTCCACAGTGGTTGCACCAGTCTGCACTCCTACCAACAGTGGAGAAGGGTTTTCATCACCCCACAACCCTTCCAGCATTTGTTATTGATTTATTTCTTGATAGCAGCCATTCCTACTGGGGTGAGATAGAATCTCAGTGTTGTTTTCATCTGTGTATTTCAAATGCTCAGTAATGTTGAACATTTTTTCATATGATTATTTGCTGTTTTTACTTCTTTGAGAATTGTCTGTTCATTTCAGATGCCTATTTTTGAATTGGGTCTTTATATTGGGGGGGTTCTGATTTTTTTTCTTATTTCTTTATATACTCTAGATAGTAGACCTTTGTCTGAGGAATAGCTGGTAAAAATTTTTTTCCCACATAATGTGTTATCTCTTAGCTCTGCTTGTGATTTCTCTTGCAGTGCAGAAGCTTTTTAAAAAGATGAGATCACAATTGTTGATTCTCTGTGCTAGTTCCTGTGTTACTGAGGATTTGTTCATAAAGTCTTTTCCTACGCTGACATCTTCAAGAGTTCTGCCTAACTTATCTTCTAGCAAGTTGAGAGTTTCTATTTGAATATTTATATCTTTAATCCACTTGGATTTTAGTTTAGTGCATGGTGAAATATACAGGTCTAGTTTTAAACTCTGACAAGTTGAAAGCCAGTTTTTTCAACACCATTTATTAAAGAAGCTACCTTTCCTCCAGAGAGGGTGTTTGGCTCCTTTGTCAATGATGAGGTAGTTGAATATGTCGGGAGATGTTTCTGCATCTTCTAATTTATTCCATTGATCCTCAGGTCTGTTTCTTTGCCTGTACCATGCTGTTTTTATCACAGTGGCTTTGTAGTATAGTTTCAAGTTGGAGATTGTGATGTCCCCTGCCATGTCTCTGTTGCTTAGAATTGCTTTTGCTATTCTAGGTCTCTTCTGATTCCAAATGAATTTTTGGATTGCTTTCTCGAGTTCTATTAAACATACTGTTGGGATTTCAATAGGAATTGCACTGAATCTGTATTGCTAGTTTTGGAAGTATGGCTGTTTTTGCTATATTGAGTCTTCCTACCAGGAACAAGGGATGTTTTTCCACTTTCTTATATCCTCTGCCATCTCTTTTTTTTAGAGTGCTATAGTTTTCAATGTAGAGGTCTTTTGTCTCCTATGTTAGAATGATTCCTAGATATTTCATTCTTTGGATGATATTGTGAAAGGGATTGTTTCCCTAATTTGACTCTCAGCGAGACTGTTTCTTTTTTCTTTTTTTTCTCTCATTGAGTTTATGGCTAAATTAGGTATACAGTATAGCTACATTCATCATTGGGATCTTGTACCTTTACATGACAGGTCTTGGTTCTCATTTTTCCCCTTATCCCTGCCCACCCTTCACCCCCTCCTCCCTTCCTTATTTACAAATACTTTATTTCCATTTTTTTATTTTCTTATGGTTTTTTTCCTTTTCCCTTATTACCTTTCCCCTACCCCTACCCTTCCCATCACACACTTATAAATACCGAATAGTTTCTCTGCTGTGAAAACCTATAATGGTACATAAAATCAGTGAGACAAGGCTATTTTAATTTAGTTCCTTATTTTTTATTTGGTCGCTAGAGGGCACTCCAGTTCTGCATTTGCGGCTGACAAAGGCAGGCCAAGGGAATGCATGCATTTCTAGATCTTCATCACCTGTGATTATCAGAGACCATGAAGGGCAAACTGCTCTTTCCAATTTAACAATAACTTCTTTAAAGTTGTAAGAGTAAAAAATGTATATCGTCTACTTCCTATAGAACATATACCGAATAAGAAAGAGTGCTTAAAATGCTTAAAAATCTCTAATTGTTGTATTGGCTAATTCTGAACATTTTTGTTAGTGGTACTTATTGATTGAGAGTAATTTGAAAATTATTATAAATGTACATATTCTGTTCATCTAGGCTTATTCACTGAAAGATTGTATAGTTTTGAGAATCCAAAATGGAATAGTAGGAGGAAAGGATCTGGTTCTTTTAAATGATGTCACTAAAAATAAATAATTTAATTATATTAAAGGTGGTTGGTTACAAAGTACTCTGTGAAAAACCAAGATAAATTTTTTATGTTTTAAGCTTGACTATGTTCAAAAAAAGGCAAGAAATGAAACAAAATTATAATTTATTTTTGCTCATAGGTTTGATAGTTACTTTTCTCCTTTAAATTTTCCCCTCAAGAACTGATATTACTTTTGTGTTTCTAAATTTTTATTGAGCTGCATGAATTATACATAATCATGGAGTTCAGTGTGATATTTCCATAAGTGCACGCAGTGTTTACAGGTCAAGTCTAATCACATTTCATTCTCATTTTACACACACACACACACACACACACACACACACACACATATCCTTCCCAATCCTACTTTTGTATTTAAGAAATCAATAAGAAAAGAGAATCATGCTATGAATTTTCTAGTCAATGTTACTGACCAATCATCTCTGAATTTCCGGCATTATCAATGAAAGCACACATGGCTCCATTTGTTTTTCAGAACTCCAGTGAGGAAGACCTCCTCCCTCACACCACCTCTTGTGTGTTTGGCTACTTCTGGTTTTGATAATATGACTGGTGTGAAGCCAAAGTCTCTTCTCCCAAGTCCACCCATCTGCCCAGTCCTGCCTCTGACACAGAGTCCCTGATAGACCTCTACAAGTTTCATCGTTTCTGTCCTGATGAGTTCTCTTCTCAGTAAGTGTGGTGCCTATCATCCCAGCACTCAGGAGGCTGAAGCAGGATTGTCACAAGTTCAAAGTCAGCCTAGGCTATGTAGTGAAATCCTGTCTCATTAAAAAAGTGTTCTCTTCTCCAGGCTGAACAACCGTCAAGGAGTCATTCATTCAGCTGACATTTGGGGGCCACATCTTCCACTCTATCCTGAGCTTTAGCAATGAGCAGAGCTCAGAGTCTGTTGAGAGAACACATAGGCCAGGCTATTCATGTATTCAGTGTTATTTGCTCTGACAAAAGCCAACAGGGCCAGAGAAGTCACCCAATGGGAATAGGGAGGGAGCTGTGAAGAATCAGCTACTGGACTGAGGGCTGAGGAGAACCAGAGGAAACAGGTGGGTTCCAGGGGAGAAGGCAGAGAGAAAATGCACTTCACATCCTCCCATTGAGAGGTCTTGTCAGGGCCACCTCACCCTGTGTGCTTTGAGGACAATGGCTGTTTCATTAAAAATATTACCTTCTTTCTTCTGTCTACCTAAAGACCTAGTCCAGGGAGTGGGACACAGTACATCACGGTAGAGTTGTATTGGGTAAGGAAGTAAATGACAACCACACAATCCAATGAGTGCTGGATAGAGAAGAAACATCATCCAGCCTCATTTAAATATGAGTCTTCATTTTTCTTTCAGCCTTAGCAAAGGAGCCAAGACTCAGTGATTCTTCTATCTTCATGGTGCCATGTAAGCTACCACCATCCTCATTGTGGTGGGTTGACTAATGGTCAACTTGTAATGCCCAGCTGAACTGAATCAGCATGGTCTGGGCATGGAGGATCCACCTGAAGATTGTTACCAATAGCCATAAAAAGAGACCTGGAGGGGAAGATCTTGGCCTGTTGATTTTCTGGGAGAAGCTTGCTGCTGATGGTTTTCCTGATGCAAACTACGCTGTTCTTGTCAGAAGAGGAGCTTGGGGCCTTGATGTCACTGGGGATGGCTACTATTTTCATCAGGGGAGCTCTGATCTTCACCTTGACCATCACTTCCTGGCTCCAATGTGGATCCCTCAGCTTGGTGACACAAATCCTTCATCTCACCAGTGTAGATTTTCCTGCTTCCATCCCTGGACTTTGGGTCTTTCAGGTGCAGATCTTCAATATGGACAAGCATGAGGCATTGCTGTGGGCACTGGGCAACTGGCTGGACTCAAGAAGGATACTGTCTTGGCCTCTAAACTTTTACCTGGACTTGTATGGGGAATTGCTAGGATCTAAGCCTTTTGCTGAATCCTTTCAGCTTCTAGTGTGCAGTTAATCTCTTGCACTCCTTTGACTTTTTTGGGTAATTATCATAAAATAATCTTAGAAATTATGTGTTCTGTATTTAATGTATTCCTTTGCCTGACTGCAACACTCATATACTTAGACTTCCTCTTCACCACCCATCATATTGCATTATCACTGGTGTCATTGGCCCATGATGCAATTCTCCAGCTACCTTTCTTTGCTTCTGTTTTAATTAACTCGTTGACTTGCATGGGGGAGTGGAACATGTGATGTAAAATCCACAGGTCTTCCCAGACCCCCCACCTCTCTTTCTCTGATGTTAGATGCTGAGTTTGATAAGTATTATGAATATCTGCTGTGATATAAATGTGTCCCCTCCTGAGTTCAGGTGTTGCTGGTGTGTGGTACTGAGAGGTGGGGCCTTTAGGAATTGATTAGACCAGGAGGAATCTCCTTCAAACTGGGATCAGGAGCCCTTGGGCACAGGCTTGACAGGTACATCTGAGCCCCATTTGCTCTTCCACCTTCTGCCACATGAGGACACAGCATTCTTCACTTCTGATTATCATCTTAGAAAAAGAGAATGGATCCTCCAGACATCAAGCCTGCCAGCACCTTGCCCTTGGACTTCTCAGCCTCCAGAACTGTAAGAAACAAATTCTGCTCTTTACAAAGTGCACAGTCTGTGGTATTGTGTTATAGCCACATAGATGGACAGGGCAGTATGCTCTAGAGAAGTTCTAACCATGCAAACATGTGCGCACACTTTCTTCTATACCTAGGAGCAGAGTGGGCATGGGTGCCGCCCAAGAACTCAAAACATTCAGGAGGGAAGAGACAGGCTGTGAGTCATAAGCACACTGGGCCGTTCCCACACCAGAGAGCACTGTGCACAGGAAAATGGACACTGCTGTGACAGACAGTGAGAAGCATCTCAGTGTGGGAGAGACACAGGTTTGCCATCTTGATGGGCACTGCAGGTTCTGCTGTGCACAGCACAGGTGTTCTGTTCAGCCTTGCAGGTGTTTTTCACAAACTAGAACCAAGAGGGTAAAGGAAAATGACACAGGATATCACTCATGAATTGTTCCTAGCAAGACTGTGGGTGCTAAGTTGCACAGTGACTGCAGAGAGCCTACTGCCAGTGAACTGGGAGAGATGAGTGGAAACATCCTACTCTTAACCTAAAATCTTTAAATGCACATTAATATAGGTAAGGAAAAACCCAGTAAATATTTTAGCTAATCATGAACTTGATATGTAACCATAAACGTTTAATCAGAAACATTAGTTAATCCCTGTAACTCTGAGCGATGTGTTCCAAACCACAAGTTTTCATATACACTGTGTTTTCAGGGGGGTAAATATTTGTTTTCCTTATCGGCTAAAGGCCAATATTACCATCTGCAGATGTTTAATCAAAAGAAGAAAATGACATTGGGCTTCAGCTTGTTGGAAGGTCATTTGAGAGGATATGTGACTTAAATGACATTGTCCCAAATAATGGAACTAGTTTAAAGGATGAAATTTACTGGGCACTGTGGTTTGAATGCCTTCCCCAAAATTCATGTGTTGGAAACTTAATCCCTGAACTGCAATCTTAGGAGGTAGGGTTTTGGGGCAGATGTCTAGGCCACGGGGACTCTGTCTTTATAAATGAATTAATGCCACTACTTTTCTGCAGGCTTTTTTGGGGTTTGTGGGAGTGGGTTCGTTCCCTCTATTCATCTGCCATGTGAAGAACAGTGTTCTTCACAGAACCAGAGGGTGCAGTGTTCATGGCACCATCATGGAAAAAAAGTCTGTTACACACCAGATCCCAAACCTGCTGTCTCCCTGACCTGGGGCTTCCAGCCCCCAGAACTGTGAGGCATAAATTTCAATTTCTAAATTATTCAGTCTATACTATTTGTGTTACAACAGCACAAAACAGACACAGAGCCTGGAAAAACAAATTTTATTCCACACACTAATAAAATTCCTTATGAATAAAACCATCCAGTCACTAATGTGGGGCCCCATAAGCATAGGGCATAAGCAGGCAGCTTGAGGAACAGACTATGATGTGGGATACGCAGTCCTTCCGGGAGAAGATAACAATTCCATAAGCAGATGTCAGGAAGATACTTGTCTCATGAGTTCTTCATTGTGTTTTTCCTTTTCTCTTCCTTTATTAAATCAAGAATCTGACTGTTTTGATACTTGAAGAAGGTATGCATTGAGGCAAAAGAAAAACAAAACAGAAGTCACTTTTGTTTCCAAAAGCACAAACTGAAAGACAGGAGAACTTGCAGGACTGCTGAAAAGGTAAAAAAAATAATAATAATAATAATTTGCACCAGGAGAGAGACAAGTTAACTCAGGAGAGAAGACACCTCAGTAATAAAAGAAGCAGCACTGCAAAATTTCTCTCCCCTGGTACTAACAAAATTAGTAGCAAATAAACATTTAAAACAAGGAAACAAGGAAAGAACTGTAACCCCATACACAAGAGCCTAAAACAAAAACAAAACAAAACAAAAACCTGGTGGCCCAAGGCAAAGGAATAAAATTCAGGGGAAAAAGTGGGGCAGGCAGTGCTCAGCAAATAATTCACTTCCAGCCCCACTGCCACTCCACCTCCAAATCCTGAGTGTTCTCCTGATACACTGAAATGCATAGCCCCGCAAACCAACAAGGAGGTCTCATACACTCTTCTCCTGGCTGATGTCTGTGGAAATGGGGAGGAACAGGGGGAACAAGGCGGTGTGGAATTTGCTACCTCTGCCATGGTCATGGCTGCACGTGGAATCAGGAAAGCAAGCCAAAGCCAGGGAGGCCTTGTGGCACTCACACTTAGAGGAGCGAGGTGCATGCAAGACTCCCCCTGGTCTGGCCTTGCTGTCTGTGGACTCCTCATCCCACTCAGCAACCAGCACAAAGGGTGATGTCCATGTGCTCCAGTCAAAGCCCACCAGGGAGGCATCTACAGTTGAGCATGGTGAGTGTGTTACTGGTGAGTAAGGGAGAACACACCCTACAACTAACTAAGAGAATGATGGGAAGGACTTAACAGATTCAAGGCTGAGTCAGGTGATGATTTCAGAAGAAAGTTTAAGGAAATGAGATTTATTCTGGATTGGATGTTGCAAAGAGTCAAGGACTGGGTGTCTTAATAAATCTTACCTAGAAGGGTATATCACTATAGCAAAGTTGTAATGGATTAAGGATGCAGTTGGTAACAAAGGAGAATGCTGACATTGGCCAAGAGGGGGTGAAGGGAGGGCAGGGACAAGGGGAAAAAATGAGAGCCAAGACCTGTCTTGTGAAGGTACAGGATCCCAGTAATGAATGTAACTGTATTGCATACCTAGATTGTACCAATAAACTCAATAAAAAGAAAAAATAAATAAAAGAGCCTTGCCTATTTTCCTCCTCCCTCCAAGAAACCTTCACTGAAGACAAAATGATCTACTATTCCCTAGCAATGCTTGGATTTTTTTCTTTCAGCTTCAGCATAAGGGGCTAAGACTTCAGGAATCCAAAGAGGACCACAGATTTAAAGTAGCACTGGGAAAAATAGATTTACCACTGAGCCACCCTCCCTCAGAGAGTGGAATGTGGGCCAGAAGCTGTGGGACAGGAAGGGATGGGGATCAACAGCATCCTCCATGGCAAGTGGTAGAGGATGGCAATAAAGGTACTGTGGTTCCCTAGACCCCAGGGCCCTGGCCTTACTGACTGCCGAGTCTGGACAGCATAAGTCTTCCTTATAACCCAAGGACTGGACTTTATGAAAGTCTGGTTTCTTAAGTGGTTTAATTTAATTTGCACAGTAATTAATAGCAGTTACAGCTACATGCATGGGTATATAACATTGAGAAAAATATGTTTTTCTATGATATAATTACCTTTTTAAATGATGATAATTACCTTTTTAAAACAAGTTAATATCCTCATAATATTCTTTCTTTTATGTTGGTTGGTCAAGCCAGACTATTTAAGTCATACCTTAAATAAAGAATCAAATCTTGCTTCCCATACTTGGGCTAATATTTCTTTATGTTTCAATTTTTCTGTTTTTTTTTTTATAATTGCAATTACTTTTTTGCAAGGGCTGACTGATTTGTTGATTTCCTAACTCTTTTAATTACTTGATTAGGTGTTCCATGTAAGATTTTATTTTTCTTTCTAGATTGATGCTATGTATTTTAGATGTGTAACTGCTTTTCTTGTATTCTCTCTGGTTACTGGCCTTATCTCTGGTCAGTCTTTCATCTCTAGATAGTTGAGTTACTTATTCAATTATTTGTGATGAAGTTATAGAATATCCATGGTCTTCATTTTTATGTTCATTTTTGTGCTGATATTTTATATTGCATTATGACCACATCAAAAATGAATGAGCAGATGGAAACAAAGTCTTTGTAAATAGGGAAGGGTGAGGGGGGTTAAGGGAGGGCAGGGGTATGGGGAAAAAACAAGAACCAAGACTTATCATGTAAAGGTACAAGACCCCAATGATAAATGTAACTGTATTGTTTGCTTTAAATGTACCAATAAAATTAAT